GAAACGGCCTGTATTAAACATAGTATGGAAACAATAAATCAGAAAAAGAGATTTTTTATTAATTCTTGAATCAAAATCTGATGACTGGACAATGAGAAGTTACTGCAGTGAATGTTCAAAAACGTTTTCACCAACTATCTCAAATTTTCTAATGTTGTTGATTCTATCACATACACTTTAGACTTCAAATGACCCCATAGAAAGAAATATACAGGAGTAGATCCGGAGACCTTGATGGCCATTCGGAAGGACCTCTTCTGCCAATCCAGCGACCAGAAAAATTATCATTCAAAAATTGCAGAATGAGGAGATGCACCATCCTGCTGAAAAGCTATTTCGTTTTCGAATAATCTTATATCCTCCTCAATTGCCCTATTGATGCACGGTATTATTCCATTCTCCAACATATCCAAATATTTGTCACTAGTCAAATTGTCATCGATAAAAAAAGGTCCTATGATGTGGTCACCTAAAATTCACTCTGTATACTAGGGTTGACGTGTTTTTTCATTTTTTCTGCAAATCATGGTACCAACAGTTATTCGGGGTGGCTTGTTTTAAATGAAATTCACTGTATATCCTAACTAGTGTCACTACTTCATGAATTGCTGAACAAGTAAAAGATAGGATTTCATATACATATCTCCTTCAACCATATGACTCTTTCCGGGACTTTCATGGGGTAGTTTTCAGAATGTATCTCAGATAACTGCATGGGCATTTTTTGGTTGGAAGTAGCATCATTTGAATATATTTAGCCTATCAGAGGAAAGTTACATTTTTGTGGGTTGTGAATCAGTTTTAGCTGATTAATCTCTTCATATCATATTCCGTACAATTTTTTCCGATTGTGAATTGTTAAACAGGGGTTACGATATAAGCATCGTTGACTGGTTTGGTGGTTGCTATTTCCTTTCAGTAATTTTGATACACAATTCGTTTATTCACATCATACATACATGTATCTTATGTTCTCGTACACGGCTCATCTTCGTAGTGGTGGTAAGACGAGTTGAGGATAACATAGGGTTCAAAATATATTATGGATTGGTTGAAAATTGGAATCGGGAATAGGTGGAAATAATCATAAACATTTTCCGGTAGTATCGAAGAATGTATTGCAACTATAATAATTACATTATCATAACTGATTTCAATTTTCAATAAGTTATGGTACAATTAAATATTCTCAAAATTTGGTAGACTATCTTCATTTGAAGTCAACATTATGTCAATTATTTCACTGATATCTGATAGGGGTAATATTGTGATGTGATTGATATTTAATTCAACAATTAATATTGAATCATCGATATTGTTCAGTATTGTGTTCAGCAATCTATTTTCATTGTATCAAGCAACTTCTGAAGTCTTGAGTTACGGACTTATTCAAGTCCGTTGCTATGATTTTTATTTGAGGTTTTGAGGTTCAACTCTGTGCCCTTCGAACTTCACTGTTTAGGAACTCTTTTCTCTGTAGAACTGCGTTTATGTGAAATAAACTTTCTGAGAACGTTTTTCCAAATGAATCCATCCAATCTCCAGCGATTCAAATTGAAAGGATATCGCTACATTCGCACAGGCACCGCTGTTAGAGGGCATTAGGGATTATTTTCCGAAACCTCCACAAAATATTCACGATAAAAATTTCAAGGAAATCGTTGGGAACAAGAAGATACTTGTGTGCACTATTGAATTCAAACTTGGAAAGGTGTCAAAATTAACAAAACAATTCTTTGAGGTTAGATTCCCATCAGCTCGTTAACACTGGGTCAGATGTTACCTTCCCTTTTTGGTGATACAATTTCGAATGCAGATGTAATTATATATTCTTTAAAATACAATTTTTGTGGAGGATTCAATAATTCTTACTGTTTTATTAGATATACGATCTTCCAAAA